GTACAAATGGTCAGCAGGTGTTTGAGGGAAGTGTTCAGTGTTGTGAATCACCAGAAAGCAGGGACCCAGAGCACAGTGAAATATGGCCTCACGTCTGGAGAGCACTCAGCAGAAACAGGGCAAGGGCTGGCTGGCCAGAAAGTGAGGAAAAGGGAGCCCTGCTGTGCTGTCGTGGGGCTGTGCAGGAGCCATATGGACGGTCCTCCCAGAGCCTGAGGACAGAACTACACTGGCTCTGCCAATCAATGCAGATCTGAAGGAGAGGAACTCAGTGTGCAGAAAAGATATCTACACCCCTACTCCTCCGCAGCCCTGTTCACAAGACTGTGAACCAATCTCGGCATCTGACAGCAGATGGATAAAGAAAATATGGTCCATAGCTATAGCGGGATATTACTGAGCTCTTTAAAAGAAGGAAATCCTATCATTTATGGAGACATGGAAAGAACTGGGGAGCACTGTGCTAACTGGAGTAAACCAGATACCCAAGAGGAACACTGTGTGATCTTACGCACGTGGAATCCAGGACAAACCCATAGATGAGGAGAGTTCAAGGTGGTCCTGGGACCACGCTGGGAACAAGAGGAGATGCTGGGCCCTGTGCAGACCTGTTACAAGATGAATAAGGCTGAGGCCCTGATGCATGGAGACAGCTGATGTTATGGCTGCATATGTGACATCTGCTAAGAGAGGGACTCATTCCCCGGTGCTTACATACACAGGCACTGTGTAAAAACAGGAAGGAGGTGGTGTGACAGGCACTGTGGGGCCGAAGTCTCCTGGCCCTCTATACACATTTACGGTCGTGTTTTGCACACCATCCCCCGGCATACTACTGAACTCTGTTAAGGGCCAGTCTCCCTGCTCACTTCTGTGTATGGTATGCAAGCTGCGCTGCCTGGCCCTTCTCACCTCTCCAATGTCTTGGCATGCCAATGTGTCCCCTGTATTACTGGGCCCACATTTACCCTCTCCTGTCATCCACACACAGTCCTCCTGGGCCAGTGACTCTGCAGAGTGGCCAGGGGACAGATGCCACTCCCCATGGGCGAGGCTAGCTGAATGGAGAGCTGGGATCAGCAGAGACCCCTACAGCACCTGGACATTTTTGTAGGGGACAGTGGATGGTTTGCACAACTGGCCCTTCACTGTGGGGTTGAGAGCACAGCGTGAAGGAATGCCTGGAAGAGGACCTGGATGTTCTGCAGGGGGCCCAGCCTAGGCAGGCACACATACGGGGGTGTCAGGGAATCCTTGCTGCTGCCACCCTGGCCTCCAGACAGCAAGCTCCACCCCAAAGGCCTTTTGTGGGGGCCCTCTGCACTCACTTTGCCCCATCTCCCCCTCAATGTAGCCGCTCCTCCCCGCGGTGCCCATCAGGGAGTCGAAGGCCACCTGCTTGGCACTGATGTGCAGGCGCTCGCTGGCCTTCACAAAGCGCCGGTTGACGTCCATGGGATTGACACCTGCAAGAGGGTGGTCAGAGGAAATGCACTTCCTCCCTGTGTGCTGGGCATGTCCAGACCTTTGCCAACAGCTCAGGAGGTAAGAGAGAGAAGCTCAGCTCCTGAGATGAGTGTGGGGCCTGGGAGGGAGGGGCTCTGGAGTTGAGAGCTGGGCGCCAGGGCTCTGCTGTCCCCACTGCCTCCCGTTCTCTCCACAAACGTGGCATTGACCATGATTACTGATGCCACATAAGGTACCAGCCTCATCTCAGGACACCCTCAGTGGAGGCCTCAAGTTCCAGACTCCTCTGGCTCTGGCTACCTAGACACTGTCTAACCACTGCCACCAACCCTCTGCATCGCAGACCCCATGTGGAGCCCATTTGTGGTGCGACCATCTGTACTGCACAGACCCCACATGTCAACCCTGGTCCCATGGGTCTGTCTCTTGTTCCTGCCGCAGATCTGGGGCAATAGCAAGGATGGTGGGAGGACAGGGAGTGGCAGAGGCAGAGGGAAGGTCACTTCCTAAACCCACCCATGACCCTTGGAAGTGTGTACTGGTTATAACCAGGGTCAGCACCCCTTATCCAAATGCCAGGAGACCAAAAACATCTTGGGTTTGGGACTTGTTTAGAGTTAGGAATACGAGCAGATGCATGGGAAAGTAACATGGCTTGTGGGTCTGTGTATGAGTTTGGCTGGCATTTCCTACACACCTGCACACCTGCACACAGTTCTCACTGTTCTCAGGGCAACTGGGTTGTGACTGGAGCCCATCAACACCTGCTGCGGTGTCACACTGGCATTTGGAAAGGACTGGTTTGGGGGCACTGCAGAGTTATGAGCCCCAATTGAGGGATTCTTACCCTGTATTCATCTGACCAGAAGTGAGGGGCTCAGTGAGGCACCTTACCGGATGCAGCCTCCTTCAGAGCTCTCATCTTCAGACGAAGCAGCTCAGTCAGCAGGCGCACCGACTGCTGCTGGAACCTGTGCAGTACCTCCTGCCCTGCAGGTGCCTGGCGGGCAGGTGTCACTGAGTTCCGGGCTGTCCTGGTGATGGTGGGCCCTGTAGGCGCTGGTTTTGTAGGCTGAGGCAGCTTTGT